ACCCGACCCCGGATAGGCGGAAGAAAATAGATGGATGGATGGATGGATATGAACTCAGCACAGTTTCAGATTCCTGCTGGAGCATCCTGATATCATGAGCGGTTCCAGAGACATGCATACATTGATTTGTCTTCCTAAAAAGTGTAATCCATTAATTTTTTTTTCTGAATCTTATTTTTAAGTTATTCTAACGAGGAATATATTTATATTTATATAATATTGGCTCAATGTGTGTACAGACTGTGTGTGTCACCTTGCAGCCCTCCTCGTCCAGCCCACTCCCACTCCTCCTCCGTGGGTAACCTGCTGCCTCTCCACCTGCAGAAGGCCTGAGCATCATTCCAGCTCACCTGAACAACCGGATAGTTCAGACGCTCCCGGATGCCGGACTCAGGTCCTGCAGGCTGAACCATGAGAGGTCAGAAAAAGCTAATGCTGGACTGCTTGGAGAATGGAAAATAAAACACACCTGTCTCCAAAAAGCTCTCTCTATAGGCAGCCACCAAGGGGCAGACTAGATGGTAAAAAATAAGATTAGTCACAAGTTAGACTTWAAGTTTACATTTATTTATTTTAATTAAATTACCTCAATTCTCTGAGTTATTCTGCTCTTCATCTCTTCTGAGACAAAGTCTTGAAAAACAAAACTCCATCCAAAAGTCTCAGCTTCAGTTTTATACTTCTGAGCTCTCACAAACTCCCTGTGGTGAAAACAAAACAAAACACATAACTGATTCTGTCTTGTGTCAATACATCACCCAACATGATGCCAAGTTTTACCTGAAATCTGCATTTGTTACGGGGTATTTGTCGATTTTAAAAGGCTGCACCTCCACCTCCCTGATGGGGGACTCTCCGTCCCTGCCGTCYGCTGCGCTGGTTCCCATCAACATCCTTCCCCCGGGGAGGCTCACCATCTCCCCCGGAGCTGTCAGAGGGAACCAGTTTGTTAGTTACTTTTATTATTATTTACAAACAAGATACAATTAGACCTCACCTGACACTGACTGTAAGATCACAGCAAATAACATCCAGAGCTGAGCTTTTAGGTTCATTTTTGACCGTCTTCCTCAAGCTGTTACTGTCGTAAAACTACAATAAAATGTAAATATAAAGTCAAACATTTAGCTCATGTCAAAAGCAGAACTTTTCAACAACTAATTTCATATTTTTTGTTACGTGTTGTGGTTTCCAGCTTTGGGACCGTCATGAAACATTGTTCGACCTCGAGCAAGTTCCGCGTTTAAAGGTTCCGCTTCATCTCAAACTAAACTAAGATTAATTTATTCACGTTTAAAGTCTAATTATTTCAGTTTTAATCAAATTCCTCTACAACTACTTTGGTATAATACCAGAAAATGTCTTTTATGAGTGCATCCAACATTTAACTAAAATATTTTAGAAAATATCTGCAACAAATAATTATAAGCACATTTTGTGGGCTCTCACAATTCAGGTGAGCTCCAGATAATAGGCCTAATTTTGACGTATTTGCAGAGTTGTAAAGTAACTAAGTACAAATACTTCTTTACTATACTTA